CCACTTAAACCCCTCCACCAACATATTTCTTAATTTCATGGATCTCCCCCCTATATTAATAATATCCCTCCATATTTTAGATGTCTTCCTGTTCTCGATTGCTGTAATGTCCACCTCCTCCCACTTGCCCCCATAATATTTCTCCTTAACTATCCGTTTCCATAAGCTCTCTACACCATCCCCAAATCTAAACCACCACTTTCCTAAAAGTGCCCAATTTTTCCTATGTAAGTCTAACACCCCCAATCCCTCCTTTAGCTTACTACAACATACATATTCCCATTTCACCCAAGAGATCTTTTTTTGTGACTCAACCCCTCCCCATAAAAAGGTTCTCTGTATACTAATCAATTCAGCAAGCATAGAATTTGGAATTAAAAACAGTGACATATAAAAAATAAGTAAAGCAGAAAGTACCGAGTTAAGCAAAGTGAGGCGACCACCAAAGGATAGCGAAGCAGCTTTCCAGACAGCGAGTTTGGCTCAGAATTTATTTATCAGTGGCTCCCATAACTTCTTTCTCCCAAGATTTCCATCAACGGGCATTCCCAAATAAATGAAAGGAGATTTCCCAACACCACAACGTAGCATGCCGGTTGATCCTTCTACCCATCTTACTGGCACATTATATCCATAAATGCTGCTCTTACTGAAATTAATTCGTAAACCAGACATCAGTTCGAACCATCGCAGGATTGTTTTAACCATAAATACATTCTATGTGTCAGCTTTTCCCATAATAATTGTGTCATCTGCGAATTGGAGTAAAGAACTCTCTAACCCTCTCTTGCCAATTTCTACACCTCGAAACAGCCCCTCTGTCATTTCTTTTTGCACCAATCCATTTAACCCTTCTCCAATCATCAAGAATAAAAACAAAGATAATAGATCACCTTGTCGTAATCCTTTTTCAACCTTGAACTCCTCCGTCGGGCTGCCATTAATTAGAACTGAAATTCTAGAAGTCAATAAGCATTCCATGATCCAACTTCTCCACTTGGTTCTGAAACCCATTCTATCCATCATCCATTCCAAAAATGACCAATTCACATAGTCATATGCCTTCGCAAAATCAGCTTTAAAAATAAAAGCCTGCTATTTCTTTCTCTTTACTTCCTCAACCACTTCATTCAACACCAAAACACCATCAACTAACTGATGCCCTCCCAAAAAAGAAGATTGATTTTCACTAATAATCCCCTACAGCACAGATTTAAGTCTATTAGCCAACACCTTTGCTAATAGTTTATACACACATCCAATTAAGCTAATGGGTCTATAATCCTTTAATTCCATAGAATTAAACTTCTTGGGGATTAAAGTTAGGAAAGATAAATTCAGCCCACTAACCAATCTACCATTCTGATTAAATTCAGAAAAAAAAAAGCTCATAAAATCTTCCTTTAAATTATTCCATGCAAATTTAAGGAAAGTAAAGTTGTACCCGTATAGGCCTGGAGCTTTTGAGCCTTCACAACTTCGTAACCCTTCCTCAATATCTTCAGTGGAGAATGGTCGTTCAAGCCATTGCTTTTCCTCTATAGACATTTGCTTGAAATTAACCCCATAAGGCTTTGGTCTACTCCACTTATCTTCTTGAAATAGCTTGCTAAAATAATTCATCACCTTCTTCTTAACCTATGTTGGTTCTTCCACCCAGCTTCCATCACACATTAAGCCTGTGATATGATTTTGGGCCTTTCTACTATTTGCAACTCTATGAAAAAATCGAGTGTTTGCATCTCCCACACATACCCAATTGCTTCTTGACTTCTGTTTCCATATCAGTTCTCTCTTCCTCATTATGTCCCACATTTTCTGAAATCCTTCTTGTCTCTGCAGAATCTCAAATTCATCTAGATCAAGCTCCTCATTCTTCATATCAACCTGCTCAATCTGTTTAACAGCCTGTTCATATTGAGCTTCCATGTCTCCAAATACATCTCGATTCCATCCCTTTAAAAACTCTTTTAACCCCTTTTAACTTCTGTTTGCATTTGTACCCTGCAAACCCATCTACCTCCATTGCTTTCCATTTCTCCTCGATTATCTTCTTAAAATCTGGATGGAGTAACCATGCATCCAAAACTCAGAATGGCTTTGGTCCTCAATCAGTTGTTCTTGATTTCAGCACAATTGCACAATGATCCGAGATGTCCCGTTTCAAGCCTTGTTACACCCAATCTCCACCCATTATGCACATCTCTGCATTCATCAAAACTCTATCCAATCTACTCATGGCTGTACCATGTAAAGTGCCTATTTACCATTTTGATATCTATTAAGCCTGTTGATAGAATAAACGCATCAAATTCCCTCATATCTGGGCTCTCCCCTATTCTTCCCCTTCTTTCCTCAAGACATCTTACAGCATTAAAGTCTCCCGCAATCAACCATCGTCCTCCCTCTTCTGTGATCATATTCCTTAGCTCATCCCATAGCTTGAGTCGTTTCTGTCTATCATTTGGACCATACACATTCACTAGGTTACACTTCACCTTATGTATTCCCCACTCCCCTGTTATTCTCAAATAACCATCACTTGTGTGATCTCCCGTCTTAGCAAAATTCTTTTTATTCCAAAAACACAACAAGCCTCCTGATGCTCCTATCGATTCCTTCATTACCTAGCCACACTCTCTCGAATTCCACACTGTTCTACTCAATTCATCATCCACCCTTTCTAACTTAGACTCTTGTAGGAATAGAAAATCTGGTCGTTCCTTTCTCACCAATTTTCCTATCTCTTTCCTCTTCAACACACTACCCAAGCCCCTAACATTGAAAGAAATCAACTTCATCAACTAAATACTCCCACACCCACCTAATCACTACTACCATACCCTTAAAACCGCTTCCACTGTCGTTCCCCTGCCTCCTCCCTCTCTTCCAACTCCACTAACCGAGACTGGATTTCCCCTTCATTTTCTTGGGTTTGAAAACCCAATCTCTTCCCTACGCTCATCATCTTCCTCACCTCATGTAAGATCATCTCTCTTCTAAGCTCCTTGTTTCTATTTGCAATGCATCCATCAGAAATTGAACAACTACCGACTAGATTTACCTTGTTTGCTACCCTTGTTGAAGATTCTGCTCTCCCTTTGTGTCGTTGTTTTGCTCTTGCATTTGTTTCCTGCATCTTCTTTGCCTAGATTTTCGCTAGGCTCTCTGGGTAACATTCCTCCAACTTTCTTCTTCGTTTGCTTCCTAATTCCCTCAGATCTAGATTTGGTTTTGGTAAAATCCCCTCATCATTTGTCTCATCGGGCCTTTTCTTTTTAATTCTCATCATCTGTCCGTGACTAAGGCCCCTTCCCAGGCCATTTACATCTTTCAGTCCAATTTCTCCCAGCCCAATTTCTTTTGTTATCTTCGGCCCAATGTCTTTGGTCGGCCCACTAACCACATCCTCTCTACCATCATTTCCTTCTTCTGTATGCCGACTCTCCCCTTCTTCCTTTGTATTTTTGAAATTTGAATTTGAATTCCAATGTCCATCCTTCATTAATTGCTCCTCATCAATGCTAATGTCCTCTTCGTCACAGATTTCGAAGTTTATCCAATCCTGATCCTCCTCATCTATCTGCTCCAAAGAATGCTCCGAAGACTGCTCTGACTCCATTAGTGACTCACCCCGCCGCTCATCATCCGACAACCACCAATTTGGGTCGGATCGCCATTCTTCTTCATCCACCCGTATCTCATACAAATTTTCTTTCACCTTCAGTGTAATTCTTTTAGAAATCTTATGATCTACAGAGCATATAACTAACATTCTCCCATCACATAAAATTGACTTCATCTTTGTATCTTCATGGATCTTGATCACCTCTCCGACTAGTTCTCCGATCATCATAAAGCATCTATCACTCCATGCTTTCAAAGGAATACCAGAGATATGTAGCCACACCATTCTGCTTCGTTCCTGTACTTCCTTATCCCATGATTGGATGTCTTCAAACCACAAAGCTAACACTTCTTTATTGAGCTTCACAAATTCCAATAAGAACCCCGATTCCTTTTTAGTTAACAGCACCCTTCTGCCTCTTAATGGTGCTAGGGTGATCAGGCTGCCATCTACGTCAATTCTCTGTTGAATTTCATTGATTATTGTTAGAGATTTGACAGTAGCCACTATGCCCCCTTCAAGCCATTGGAGTTTACTCTGCTCTGGTATAAATTCCATAATTTCCTCCTGTGTTTCCAAATCTGAATTCTCCACCATCCATTTTTTGGTATTTATTGTGTCACAGGATGCCACTTCCTCCTTCCTTTTTTGTTGTCTTGCCTGAATTGGTGTCTTTTTCCGATGAGTAATGTCCCTTTCGTCCCTTTCCATCGTTCTTCCATGAATTAGCAGATGTTGAGACTTCTGTTCTTTCCCTTTCACCGCCTGGGCATATGACTATCTTGGTTGTACCAACCTGTCTACTCTGTGTTGTTTTCTACCTCATGTATCTGCCTCTTTTACTCTCCCATTGCTTCTCTCCTCTGCTATTTTCACTCATAGCTTGTATGATGCAAACCAGATGTCATTAAGTCTCCTCACCATCTGGTTGTCATTCTGTACCCCTAACAGACGCAGAAATCCATACCTTTTCCCCCATTTGTCTCACTTCTTTGGCAGATAAACATCTAACACTTTTCCATACCTCTGAAAGCTATACCATAAGTCTTTCTCCTCACAATTTTCTGGGAAATTGTAGAAGAAGATAGTCTTTATCTTTCCTAAAAGCTTTTGATCTACCCCCGGAATCTAACGCTTGAGCCTCTGTCGCTGTCTGGTGCCACTGGCCTCCCCTGTCGTCGCTCCTCTCGATCTAACCCTTTGGCTTTGCATCTCGCTATAACTATCATATATACTTGAAGGTTAAAATATTAATTTAATACTTGAGCATTTAGATAGGTAAAATTTTATGTTAAACTCTTAAATTTATTTTAAATTTTCAATTAAACCTCTCAATTTTTATTGAAATAAATAAATTCTTGAACTAATTGAGAAAATTTAACATTTTTTTTTCTTTTCTTTATAGTAGATTTAATACTCATTTATGTCTCATATAGGTAAAATATTGACATGTTATTGCCTACATGGTAGGTCTTGACCTTGTCCATGTAAGTAAGGTATAAATAAGCATTAAATTCATCATAAAAAGGGGTTAAATTACTCAAATCCCCAAGTTCAAGGACTTTTATACTTCAATAAAAATTGAGAGGCTTAATTAAAAATATGAGATTAATTGATGGCTTAACATGGGGTTTTGTCAACCAAAAATGCACCAAAAATGTCCTTGAACTTCGAAAAGAACTTAGATTTTCGATACCAATTAGTATTTTAACCTAACTTGTACCATGTATGGTTCTTATGTAGGCGGATTAGTCAATCCTCATGTTTTTCTCCAAGAACGATTATTTGTATGCATAACAATTGATCACCTAGATCCGTAACTAACAAGTCTAGTCTATAAGCATACATGTGATGTTGATGTCTCATCTCATCAATGGCACTACTATCAACATCAAGGACATTTAACAAAGATCTATAAAGCTCATTCTACGATAAGGTCCTCACAAACAATACGTTCATTGCTCCCCTACTACAACTAACTATATAAGGGTACACAGAAAAAAAAAAAATTATGTACGAAATAAAAATGCCATATAGATTATAAATTCACATGTACATGAACAATCTAGAGTGTAACATGACCCAATTATTCTTATTTT